GTCCACATAGATTCCTCGTTGAGGCTAAAGTCTCAACAATACTCTCTCCCATTCAACTCACCTTGTCCTCAAGGTGAAAATCTGGAAATTACTCGAGGATCATGCGAGCTAGATCCCACGTATCGCCAATAGTTGACATATCTCATCAATGAATGAGGACCTCACTTTCATGGGGTCAATGACAGATGGCACACACCTCAATGGATTGAAGAACCTAAGAGATGTCTTCTTCCACTTGTAGTTCCCCACTAGACTCATAGCCTTGATTTCCCACTTCAACTTGGATACGTGGAAGATGAGGTGAATTCGAGCTGTCTTAGGAAGCTCTAAGTGATAGACAATTGGGTTGATCCTTTCTTGGATGCTAAACAACCCAGAAATGTAAAGATAACTTTTCATATGGTCTTCAAGCTACTGAGTGCTGTCGATAGGGTCGAAGCTAGAGGAAGACTCATCTCCGACTTGAAACTCTATGTCCATCCTATGGTGATCAACTACCCTTTAGATATAAGCTTAGGCTCATTTTAAGTGTTGCTTTAGTTGAATAAGGGCTTGATCTCTCTCTTGAAGCATTTGATCCAATGAATCTACCATAAAGTTGCCTTAATGATAATGACAGAGAGTTGGAGGGTCTATTTTGTAGACTACCTTGAAAGGCATTGTGCTAATGGAGACGTTGAAGGTGGTGTTGAACCAATATTCAATTCATGTAAGGAACTGACTCCACTATTTGGGTCGATCCCTTGTAAAATAACGCATATAAGTTGAGTCCATGATTTCTCATCTTTGACTAACTGTTAGTCTACGAATGATATGAGCTTGTGCGCCAAAAGGTAGTGCCGTGCAATTAAAAGAGCTTGGTCTAGAATTTGTTAAAGAAGGTCTTATCTCTATTAAACAACATTGATTCTAAGATTTTATAGAGTCAGATCACGTCACAAATAAAGATTTGAGCAATGTACTTTGCCAAAGTAGATGTTTCAATAGTGGGAAGTGGGCATATTTGTTAAGCATGTCCATGACAACCATCATAGCATTAAATCCATGAGAAGATGTCATTCTTTCCATGAAGTCTATGGTGATGTCTGGCCATATTTTATGTGGAATGAGAAGTGATTGTAGAAGGCTTATTAGTGATAAATTCTCAGACTTATTTCGCTGGCATATCGAGCAGCCAACAACAAATTGTTGAATTTGGTACTTCATCCCCCTTCAAATAATATTTTGCCTGATTCTCAAATACATGGGATGGAAGTTAGAGTGCTCCCTAGTGCAAGAGTTGTGGAATTCTTTCAAGAGCAAAGGAATGAGTGAGGACTGCCTTGAAATCAATAGTCGCCCTTTTCAAAATAGCAACCCATTTTGCTCATATGACAGCCATTGCTTCGGCTGATGGAAAAGTAGATTTTGCAGGCCTAATAAATATGGGTTCATGCGGTACTCCGAGATAATGATATCATTGTCTAATAGTTTCAATTTTTTCATGTATTCCTAAAGCCACACAATGTCAAGAGCTTGCAATAGAGCATCAACTACTCGATTCCCTAGTCTAGCTTTCTACTTAATTTTGAAATTAAATATCAGTAATTTAGACACCTATTTTGATATTTCAAGAGTATATTTTGCTGTTTCAAGATGAACCTCAAGCTCCTTTGGTCTATGAAGATGGTGAAGTATTATCCTAATAGGTAACACTTCCACTTTAGGGTTGTCAGTACAATTATAACCAGTTCTCACTCGTATATGGTCGTAAAGTTTCCAATAAAAGATAATCATTGGCTGACATATGCCATCGACTTTCACCTCTACATCAAAATTGTTCCTACTCCTCCACTTAAAGCATTTGCTTCTAGTTCAAAGGCCTAAGAGAAATCATATAGGGAGAGAACTAAAGCAGAGTTCAAGGCCTACTTGAGTTGTTGGAACGTCTCTTCTACCTCATCTTCCCAATGAAATGCGTTGCATTTTAATAACTAGGCTAGGCTGCAAGCGATCGTCCCATATCCTACAATGAAGCATTAGTAATATTTGGACAAGCCTAAGAATCTCTACAACTCCTGGAGATTACAGGGGGTTGGCCACTTCTACATGGCTTAAATTTTTTCTTAGTCCATCTTGACCCCTATAGTTGAGATCTAGTGCCTAAGGTAGGTGATCTAGTGCTGCTCGAAGCAACATTTCTTTGGGTGGATTCACAACTGATGTTGGTTCAAAATCTTCTCATAATGCCCTTCATGGGTATGAAATGCCGTTGTTGGAATATCATCTGACTTTACCTAAATTTTATGATACCCTACTCTTAGTCCAAGCTTTGAGAAGATCTTCACACCGTGGAGTTTGTTCAAGAGCTCTTCCACCACTAGAATAGAGAAGCGATCACGAATTATGGCTTGATTGAGAGCATAATAATCCACACAAAACCTTCAGGTGTTGTCTTTCTTTTGAATTAGTAACATTGGGCTCGAATAGAGGCTCTATGAGTGTTGTATAATGCCGGTCTTGAGCATATCTTCCACCATCTTTTCTAGTTCTATCTTTTGGAAGTAAGGGTAACATAATGGTCAGATATTGATAGGTATAACCTTTGGGTGTCGGTTGATCTGATGGTTCACCTTCCATTGTGGTGGCAAACTATGAGGCTCGACGAACACCTCTGGGAATATTTACTATAGTCATTCCTCCTCTGATGTAAGATCAGAACTTAGTGCAATTAGGAATAGTTGGAAGAGTTAAAAACAGAGATCATTGGCCTTTACTCGATTAGACGATGACTTTAGTGCGATTTCTAGTGATTCTCTCGTCTGCTCCATCTTGAGGACTGCTTGTTCCATTCTAGAGCAGAAGGAGAAGGTTTTTGCATCAATGTCCATATCAAACTGACGGAGAGATTTTAACCCCTTCATATTGAGTACAACTTCTACTGTGGCTAAAGGGAAGGAGCAAACATTTCGGAGATATGGACACACTACAAGTCCACAAAAATCTGAGGTATCAGCTCTATGCCATCCACCTTCTCGTTAGATCTAGTGATAACTTTATTTTGAGGAATTTTGATCAGGGGAAAATGTAGGTCTTAGACTAATTGGTTGCTGATGAAATTGTGGGTTGCACTGGTGTCCATCAAGATCGTGACAAATTTACTCTTAATTTTTCCTTGAAACTTTAGAGCTTCATGCTTATTTGTTAAGGACTGTAGAATAGCCTCCATGTTGAAAACAGTTTCTTGTAATTGAGGGGTCTCCCTTGTTAACTCTGAGAACTCCGTGAAGTCTATCTCTATTGGCATGAAGAGAATCTATAGTTCTTTATAACGCCTGTATCTTAGAAAGAATTTATCATTATAGTGGAAACATAGACCTTTAACCCGTCCTTATTGTATCTGTGCAGCAATGAGATTCAATTTATTCTTTTGATCCGTAGCATTGTTATCTGCCATTCTCGAGTCGGCTAGAGCAGCCCTGAGTACTCGGGCTTCCTCTCCTCAACAGATGTTACTGAAATCCGTCACTTGGGTCTGTTAGGGTTCTAGGCCAATTGTTAGCTCCTCTGAGGGTCTCGAGAGGCAAGGTTGGGTCGTCTTGGACAGATGAGGGAGTGTATTGAGTTTGGCCTCCACTCGTTGAGCTGTCTTCATCATTTCTTTGAGTCCTCTAGGATACAATACCCCGACCTCGGCTTGGATTTCTTCCCTTAGACCATGTAGGAAGGTGTTTGTCAACATCAGCTCCGAGATGTCTTTAACGATGTTAGTGAGGATCTCAAAGTTTTCTTGATATTCGACAACTGTACCCTGTTGGCAAAGACCCAATAGTTTATCATATAAGAAGTTGGATTGATTTGGGTTATACATTTTTAATAAATGATTGCCAAAATCATCCCAATTCCAAAAGGGGTGTCGACCCAAAGCCCACTGAATAATGTAAAATGAGCCCGTCCATACTCAATTTGGCCAACTTGAGTTTGTCTTGCTCTAAAACCCAGTGCATGGAGAAAAATAACTCCATTCTAAAGATCCAACTCTCGGGTCCTAGTCTAGAGAAGGCGGGTAATTTCACCCTTTGTCCTTACCATAATTTGGTTGACTGCCAGTGAGAGTTCAGTTGGCCCGGTGGAGGATCTTGGTCTAAGTTATGATATCTAGAGAATCCCTTGTCATTTCTCTTGATGGGTAGGATCTTCCGTGGGCTGGGTTCCCTGAGATGTCATATGTCAAAGAGTATCTTTTCTTTTCTGGAACAATGGTTGATTGTTAAGAGGGACTGATTCAAGGTCAATTGGAGGGATTCAAGGACTCTGGCAATAACATTAAGTTGCTAGCTCATAGTATCTGCTCTTAACGTCTTCTAGTTGGTGGTTCGTTGTCCTTTGCTCCTACTTGACGTCTTTTAGTTGACGTTTGAACTCAGCCTGTACATTCTAAAGGACACTCTGTCAGCCTTGGCAACCATGAACTGTTGTTGTTGCTCTAAATGAGATTCTTCGAATTCTTTCTCCATGAATTCAAGCCTGTTGTCTTGAGACTTGGGCAGCATGGTGAAGGACTAACTGTGCTCTGATACCAGTTGATAAGAGCCCGAGGTGGGACAGCCAACACTCGAACTAAGGATGGCCACCGAGGCGGGAGGGAAGAAATAGGATGCTGGAACTTCACTGATACCCGAACACTAAATACAGGGCGAGGGTCCTCGAACTCCGAAGAGCGTGAGGAGCTTAGGAGAAGAGAAAGATAAACTAAAGGGTAGGATACAGAGAACTCTCACAAGAGTTCTCCACAAGGTCGCCTCTTCGAAATGGGGGTCTTCAGAAGTCATCCTTTTCTTTCCTCTCCGTTCCTTATCTTCTTTCACTTCTTATAACTGAGGGCCGCCGGATTACCTCGGTCATTTGGTACGAATCCTCGTGGTCACTTATCGTCCCAACCAGGCCTGCCAATCGTTAAGCAGATCTTAACGGTCGTCTTCCTCGGGCCGAACGGCTGTCACCGGCCGTTCAGCTGCTTATTACACAGGTCCCGTATACCCGATTACCTTCTGCGATCGGATCCGGGATCTTGGTTCACGTGGATTCCTCGTTGAGGCTAAGGTCTCAACAGCATTGCCGACGAAGAAGCCGTCAGAACCAGCGGACTGCATCGCTCTAACTTTGGCCTCTGCACTCGATCCTGCCCCGGTCGCCGAAACTGGGCAGATCGAGCAGATTGACGGTGCCGTCGCTGAGCGAGCACATGAGGACCGCCCCGCCGTTGCCGTCAGCTGTGCCGTTGAGGAGGACGCCTTGGTGCTCACAGTGGCAGTAAACCTCCTCCAGCCCGAGCCTCCCGTCCTTTCGGCCTCCCGACAGACCTTCACGGTTCCGTCAAGTGAAGCGGAGAGCAGAAACTCCCACCAGCAAAGCAGCGAGGTCACCGCGCCACCGTGGGCTGCCGAAAGGGACTCGAACTCGTCCACAGTCTCCATCGAGGGGACGTTCCACGCTCTGATGGAACCATCCGGGGTGCCGGAGTAGAGGCGGCCGTTGCCGACGGCCAGCGAGGTGACGTCGGACGCGTGACCGCGCAGAGAACCCACGGGCTGGAAGCGGACGCCGTCCCCCCTCTCCCCCCTCCCGGCGGCGGGGTCGAGGCTTCGTCTTCAAGGCCCGCGAGGAGGATCTCGGTTGTGGTGCCCAGAGTGGAGACCTCAGATCCTGTCCCCAGTAGGCTGAGGCCCCTTTCGGAGCTGCTGTTGCAGCGTGGACTTGGCCACGTGCGCCGGCGAAGACCGAGATGCCTTCTGCGATCAGGGAAGAGAAAGGGCCGTCCAGCTCGATCACCTGCGCGGGCCTGTGCTCACACCGTTGCTGGTGTTGCTGGGTTTGCTCTGTCGTTCTTGTCCCACACGCATACGGTCCTGTCAGCGCTCCCCGTGGAGATCTTGTCGCAGCCCGAGGGGAGCTCAATGCCGGTGACCGCCTTCGAGTGGCCGCCAGCGAAGGAACGGAGCAAGGAGAAGGTGGATCTTGACGACACCGCAACGCCGCCGCCGTCGACACCGTCGTCACCGTTGCCGTCTTGAGGATTGAGGAGGAGGAGGAGGAGGAGGATCCTCGAAGGGGCAAGCATGGGCGTCCGTATCCGGGGCGCTGGGTCTCTTGGCTTCTGGGTCACCGTTTTTCGTCCATTTCCGGCGGCCGCTGCCGTCCGCGGCGAGTGGACGATGCGGGGACGCGGGGGGGGTGGATGGGCGCGCGGCATCTGGGTTTCTCCAGATTAGGCTTCTTCTCGGTTGATTTTTTGGGGCCCGTTCCTCGACCCCCAATAACTGGGGATTGCCGCAGTGAAGGAACGGGCAGGGGATGCGAGAGCACCTCCCCTGCAGCCAGAACCTGCAGGTCTTCCGGGTAGCTATGTTGTGGGTCCCGCCCCTTGGACGGTAGACGCCCGGGAAAGGTATGGCAGAGGGAGAACGGAGCGGAGAAGGGGTTCCGAGGGAGGACGGAGGGAAGAAGGGGGCATCTGGTAGGAGAAAGGAGTGAAGGAGTGAAGCGGGAAAAAAAGGAAGACGCTGGTTTCTTCTGGAACGGCGATTTGAAAGAGTAAAAGGTAGCGGGGAGAGCTGCCGGACTCGCGAGAGAGGAAGCCTGAGATTTATTTCAGAGAACGGCTGAGCCTTTTTTGTTAAATAAATGAGCCGGCCTGGATGATGTTGTTCCATATTTGGGCCGTGGCGCCTGGTTTCGGCCCATGTGATCTCATTGACAAAGAACAATCTCATGGGAGGGCCCACTACAATGCCCTCCCCATGGGCCCGGCGCACCACCAACCAGTTCCGAAACCCAAATCCTTCCCGCCCCGTTCAAACGAGGGCATCGGTCTCAGTAGTGTGTATGTATGTATGGTTCATGCGAAAGCTTTCAAAAGAGTATGAAGAGTGAAGCTGACCCAGAGACTTTTAGCATTGACTTTTGTCTGTCGTCCTCCGTCTCCTTGCGGCGGAAGATCGCGGTTTCGAGAAGGGACAGACTGCTTCGGCGCCCACCACAATGGCGGCCTTCTTGAGGAGCTCACCCTCTCCGTCGTAGATCCCGCACCGCTCTTTAGCCCCTACTGAATTCCAGTTCCTGCTTCTTCTACTCCTCCTCCCCTGCTGCGAGCAGGAATGTCGGAAAAGCTCGAGGTGGAGGAGTTGCGAGCACAGCTAGAGCTCCGCGGCCTCGAATCCACCGGCATCAAGCGGACCCTCGTGAGTACTCATCTGATCTTATTCTCGCCCTCTTGCTCTGTACCCTCCAAGTGATTTCTCCTGCACCGATGTATGGCCTGTCGCCTGTTGACTTTCAGGTCCGGAGGCTGGATGCGGCTCTGAGCAAGGAAGAAGAGAAAGTATCCAGAGAGGCGCTGCTCCCGGAATCTTCCGTTGGGAGTAAGAGGAAGACGACGAGTTCCGACGGAGGGGAGGCGGAGAGGGTTGATGATGTTGACATCATCCGGAAGATGGGGATTCGCGAATTGCGTGAACAGGCCGGAATGCGTGGAATTCCTATGAACGGGTTGAAGGGAGAACTCGGAGAGAGACTTTCCGCCCATGCGGAGAAGGATGGAAAAGATTTGTCTGAAGGTGTGAGCATTTCCTTATAATCTGTCTTGTACTATTTTTTGTATAGATATCTTTGCTACCATGGAACATTTGGTTTTTTATGTTGACTTCTTGTCCGATCACGACTAGATCTTGTCGTGACTGAGGAGAAACTGGTGACGTCAACAAAGAAAGGCCTTTTATTGGATTTGTATTGAAGAATTTAGACGTCTGTAGGATGACATTGTGTTTTGGAACTTCTCTGAAGGGTTGGTGTAAGTTGTTGTGACTAACTTCTTTATTATTCTTTTATTGTATTAATTTCTTTAGTACAATATATATGACATCAGGTAATTCGAAGTATATGTCGTCTGAGACAGTGTTCACCGTTGTGGCTTCCTCTCTTTCTTAGAGTTGCTTGTTAAAATTAATTTCATGTGTACAATTATATATATAATTTATATATTATGAGGTTATCATTAAGTTAATCTCACTCAAAGTGATTCACCAAGAGGCTAACGACTTCTTATCTATAAATAAAAGGGTCATGGTACTTAGGTCACATATTGAGAGTTACTTTTAGAGCATCTTATCTCTCTTGAGTAAGTCATTGGACGCCTCTTCAATGCTAATTCAAAAGACCATCTTCGTAATTATGACTTTATAGATTCAGGTATAACTTTAATCCATTCTCATTATGTTTCATCATTCTTCTTCATTTATTTCGACATTAGATCTTTTAGATTCAACACCGCTCCTTATCTGAAACTCAGTGAGACAACATCGACGTACACTCGCCCAGATAACTAGTAGAATTGGACACTGTCCCTTCTAGAATGACTCTCATCTCAGTAGGCCTTGCTCTCTACGGTTGAGAAGAGCGTCGGAACTTCATTATGCAAGATCGGCCTAAAAAAACTAAGCCGTAAAAGATTTGGTCAAGAGCCAATAGTCAAACAGCTTTCTCCACCAAGCCAATTCGTGTCAGCCCTTCCTCCTCCGACCGAGTACATGATCAAGAGAACCGATTCACCGTAAAGAATCGGCGGATGGCAGTGATGCAGATCCATTGCTGGATCTAGGTCGTATGGAAGTTATGCGTGCACGGCTGCAGAGAAGTCGGCCCAGTCGCCGGCGTCCTCCGACTGGCAGATGGCACGGTCCTCGTCCTCACCCTGGATGTTGGTATACTCGGAGCTCTCGATGGAACTCAGCAATATCGCTTTACATCCTCGTATGATCCTCACTCACCGCCGTGATCCTCCTCTCCACCGACACCCCACGCTACTGATTCTCCATGGCCTCGTTCTTCCTGCGAGATAATCACACCCAGGAGGAGCTTCTCCCTAGCTTGCTGGCATCTCTTATACGCAAACTTCACCCCTGCACCCATTATGCTGTCTCAGCATTCAACTTTATCTTCTCCATCCTCTAAGCCGAATCTTTCTCTCGATCATGCACTCGCTCGCAGGAGGAAGACGGGTTCACACGCGTTGACTTTGTGGAGAAAGTTGTCTGACGATCGACACTTGCCCATATATTTATACTAGGTTTTTCGAACCGACCTTGCATAATGTGGGATGACACGCAAATAAATAAAGTCTTCCCTCCCAGATGCTATATCTGTGGAAAACTTGGAAGCTACGTTTTTCTCCAGTTCTTGTAAAATCAACGATAAAAAATTAATGAGCTTCATCTACTCACATTCAACTACCAAATAATCACCATAGAGTTTCTTCTATGTTTTCCCGCACTTTCAATGTTCGCTAAAAGTTTTGTTGGAATATCTGAACATGGATGCCACATCCTTAAATGGTAATGAAGTTTTCAGAAGGCATCCTGAAGACAAATTACTTACTGCGGTCAGTTTCTGGGTTCGTGCAAACAAGTAACGTCCCCGTTCCCTCTCAGCTCGAATGGGCATATACTCCGAATGGAGGGACATCATTAAGCATGTACTAGTTTAGAGCGTGGAAAGAGAGCGGATCTAACTCTACCAACCAGCTCCACTGGTAATATTTCTGAATGTATAAGACGATATATGAAGGATCTAACTCTACCAACCAGCTCCACTGGCATATATCAGTTATGACCCATAAGTCCAAGATGTTATGTTATAAGACAAGCTTTATAGCCTTTCAACAACATTTAACTCGATGAGTATTGAAAATTTTATGCTGAGAGAAAAATTAATTGATGGTTTTAAATTTTTTCCGATGATTAAATTTTGGCACAGTTGGTCTTAATTTAGTGCCTGTGATAGCTATTTTCTATTCCCTAGATTTAACGTGGGCTGATCGTGTAATATCATCTTGCCTCCTTTTTTTTGCCAGATTTTACTTGTGATACTTGATTTTGCTCTTAGAATATCATGGAAAATATTCACTCAAATTGTAAAGAATTGTAGCTCTCTTGTAATAGACACTATTTGTATTGAATTAGCACTCTACTAATGGTTGAACATGCTAAGTTTCACAATTTCAACATATTGCAAAAGGTTCTTGCTATAACGACATCATCCCTAATTGCTGACGACGATATCGACATGATTTGAACTCATCGTGGAGATACTGACAATGGAGAAACTTTCAAGGCTACTAATTATTTATTATATGATTTTGATGGTTGTTCAGAGGAATACTTAAAATATGGCTAATTACTATGGATATCTTATTTTATGGAGTGTGGTTTTAGGAGCGACATAACGCGGCCGCACAGGGACGCGTAGTCGCACCAGCAGAGCAGCAACGCTGCCGGTAGGGTCACGAACTCCTTCATAGGCTCCATTAAGCGGACGTTCCACGCTCTGAGAAAACCATCCTGGGCGAAGAGCGTGTCGTCGCTGGTTGCTAGACGCCCTCCTCGATCAGGCGACGCGGAGAGCAGATAGACGCCCTCCACATTCTGGGCACCCGAGGAGAGGCGACGGCAACTGGATCAACTTGGAGGGCCTGTGCCCACCACTGTGGCTGTGGTTGTTGTTGTCCCACACGCACACGGTCCCATCGGCGCTCCCCGTGAAGATCTTGTCGGAGCCCGAGGGCAGCGGAATGCTGATGGTCGCCTTCGAGTGGCAGCCAGCGAAGGAACCGAGCAAGATGAAGGTGGAAATTCTCGACACCGTAATGCCGTTGCCGTCGCCGTCATCACCGTCGTCTCCGTCGTCACCGTCGCCATCTCGAGGAGGATAATTGAAAGCCGAAGATAAAACAATAGTTTATGTCTGGTGTCATTAAAAGTCCGAGATGAGGACGGATAGTGAAGGAAGCTTCTCATCCTTTCTCATATACCTCCAAATCCAGCTGACCGATTTGGCTGCTGCGGTGTCAAACCACGGCATGTAGCGTGGAAAAACAGCTCCCCCCGCGGCCAAATAAATCAATCGACCCACCCAACTCTTCCCCCGCCATGGAGCGGTTTCCATCGTCGTTTGGCTCAGACGGCTGGCGATCAGCCGCCCAACCCGCCCAAGTGCCTACCAGCTCTCTTTTCAACCACCAACGGCATCTCCCCTTCCGTGGTTTGGCACCAGGTGAAGATGGTTTTATGGGCATTCCCTGCTTATCAGACTTGCACCCACATTCTCTCCATGGCGGCGCGGCTACCTTTTTTCTTCTACGGCCAGTGGAGTGGATGCCACACGTCCTCTTATTTAGAGAACCCTCTAGCAGCACGACGGTGTTCACTGAAAGGCCTTATGTCGTCATGATGGTCATTGGACATGCAGCGGCAAACGAATCAACGGACCAGGCCTTGCCGATTCCGACCGCAGACCGAGCGTCTAGACTCTGGGCTAGACCCAGATAGGAAGAGGGAGAAAGAGAGAGAGAGAGACAGAGAGAGGGAAGGGGGGAGAGAGAGAGAGAGGAGGTAGGCTGCGATAAGCGTGATTGCCTGAAAACAAACTAGAAATTTCGGATTTGATTTGGAAGTAATTGATCGTAGAAAGAAATCTCGCTGCGCGGCAGTGACAGTGGTCTCAATCTTTTAGGTCATCCAGATCGATCCTCCGAGGCGGCATCGATTCGGCCTACCGTCTTCTCTGCTGATCTTTGACTTTTGATAACGCGTTACACTCGCCTCGTTCGGGCAGTTCGTTGCCAGAGAGAGAGAGAGAGAGAGAGAGGTTTTCTTAATACACGTGTCCGTAGTAGGTTGGGAATAACCTGCTACCTCAGCGAATCAAATTACTATTTCGCGTAATTGTGCCAGATCAGTCAAATCCGTCGAAGAAGGAATCTCCAATGTGAACAAACCCCCCCCCCCCCCACTCTCCCCCCCCACCCAGCTGTTTGACCTAATGATTCGTGAGTAAGAAAACTTGGTGTCAGAAATTGGACTTAAGGTGTGAACGTGATAACTAATCAATGTGCTATTTAATGCGGCCAATTTTCATGCCGGTTGTGACGGAGGCCCACGGCTGCGCCGTTCTGCTCGCCTTGCATGAACCAACTCTGGGACTATTCGGATTGGCGTTGAAAACCCGACTCCCCTCCCCCGTGCTAATCCCACCTCCGATAGTAAACGGGTTGACCAAAGTGGCGGCGCAACTGGGGGAGACTTAAGTGGGCCATTCGGAAGGTGTTCCAGACAGATCGACGCGGTTTCGGTCTAGTTTCATATATAGGCGAAGTGCTTAGAGGAGATCGATGAAGAAAGGGACGGGAGTTACTGAACTTTGTCATCGCTTTCTCTCCAACATGGGCTCGAGGATGTTTGAAGCCCTTGTTCTTCTCCCATTCATTCTTTCCTTCCTCCTGCTACCGCAGTCGCGCGCTGAGATCTCACCTGTGGCTCCGGCGGACCCGGGCGCCATCTGCAATGGCACCCGTTACCCCGACTTCTGCAAGTCCGTGCTTCCCCCTGGTCGATCGGGGAACCTCTATGACTACGGTCGCTTCTCCGTTGCGCGTTCACTGTCCCGGGCGCGGAAGTTCTCCAGGATGATCAACAAGCAACTCGCCAGACGGTCCTCTCTCTCGCAGCTCGCTGTGAGGGCGCTCGAGGACTGCAAGCTCCTCTCGGATCTCAACATCGACTTCCTTTCGAGCACCTCGGAGGCGCTCAACGCAAGCAACAACCTTCTCGACCCGCAGGCGGATCGGGCGCAGACCCTCCTCAGTGCGCTCCTCACCAATCAGCAGACCTGCCTCGATGGCCTCAAGCTGGCCTCGTCGGAGTGGAACCTCATGAATGGTCTGTCGGTGCCACTCTCCAACGACACCAAGCTCTTCAGC